CGTTTGGGCCGCAAGACGGCCATCAGCCTGGGCCCAGAGCGACCAGGCCATGCGCTACGCTCAAGCCCTGCTACATGCTGCCCTTACGCATCCCAGCAAGCAGCAGCAGCAGCAGCAGCAAGCAATCCTCGACTACTGTTATTTCCTCGTCAAACAGGACCTCGCGGATACCCCATTGTGACACCCCTCGGCTTCAAGGGCTAGCCCCCAGGTCACATTGGTCTAAGCGAAGCAGCGACATGCAAGGGTGCGAAACCAGCCAGACAGTAATCAGCTCACGTACCTAGTGGCGGGCTTGCAGGACTCGCCAGATGAGTTTCACACAGCTGACTGTCTCAAGGCCTCGCTCAGCACCGCAGTTCAATTAGGGGGGCTTCTGATCGCTGATCAGGCAGCTGGAGCCTTATCAGCGGGCACAACCGACCATGCGATCAGCTCGGTTCTCCAGGATCTGGACAAAGCCATTGAGGCCGAACGTAAAAGTGTTCAGCGGAAGCCGCGCAGCCCTGGGCGACCTGGGTCAAAACCTCCCTTCAGGACGGAGCCGGCTGGGCCCGCGGATGGACAAGGAACCTCGAAGCCTGGCAGCCTGCGACTATCTGCGTCAAAGGCCGTTGGTCAGGACGACGGAGCATCGCCCGTGAAAAGGAAGCCGAAAGACCTGCCAACATCTGGGACACCTCCGGAAAGCCTCAGATAACTCCGGTGCCCGAAAAGCTCGATGACAGAGCGGCCCTGGGACCCGTGAGCGGCGAGACCCTTCAAGAAGCAGCCGGGAATTTTCCGATTAGGACCGCCTCGGCGTGGGACGGCGCGCACCCGCGTCACTTCGCCATGATTACAGAGGAGCAGGCGGACATCGTCGCGCAGCTGCTGCTCCTCATCGGGATGCTAGGCTACATGCCTTCGCAGACACAAGCCGTAATATCGGTCCGGATCATGAAACAGAAGCAACAAGACCCCAAAGCCACCAAACCAGCGATGAAGTCTATAGGCATTATGTCAAGGTTGCATCAAGCTTGGGCAAGAGCGAGGCAGTCGGCGGCAAGATTATGGGAACGACATCGCAGCAATGGGAACGACATCACAGGATACCATTCCTTGCACACCGAGCTGGTCATTCAATAGTCGAGCTCGTCTTCAAGCAAAGCCTTGGGTGCGATACGTATAGCAAGCGCAACGAGCAGCTCTTCTTGTGCATGGTCCTTTACGACCTCAGCAACTACTATGAGAATACCAATCGCAACAAGCTTGCAATCCGAGCTCTAAATAATGGACTCCCAGCAACTACCCTTAAGACAATCTTGGGTATCTACGCCAGCTACAGCTATGCCGCTCTCCAGGACCTAGTTGCTGCAATAGGGCACGCAGTTTTCGGAATAGCCGCTGGATGCGGTTTCGCGACGTACCTGATACAGACGTACACGATTGGCCCCCTGGACTCCTGGACCCAGCGGACTCCCCATTTAGACCTCTCCATGTTCATCGATGATATCCTCTTAAAGAGCCATGATAACAAGATCAGCAGAGTGGTGGCGCGCCTAGATCGAGGAACCCAGAGCCTGCTAGACTCCATCCAGCACGATCTGGACAGCCAGATTGCGCCTGCCAAGACTCAGTTGCTCGCTTCTTCCAACCAGCTGCGCAAGGGGATTCAAAGCAAGTTGCGCTCGAGAGGTGGCAGTTCGATAGACATCTCAGGCCCCGACCTCGGCTGCGAGACCGCGGCAAGAACTCCCCGGTGCGGGCGGGGAAAGGAGAGGGCAACCAAGGCCAGGATGGGCAATATCAAACGGAGGATGAGGAGATTGGGCGCGATCGGGAGGGCTGGAGGAGATGCAGCAAAAGTCTACAACTCGAGCATCTATGCGGCCACTACCTCCAGCCACGAGGTCACAGGCCTGAATGACACGCAGCTCGCGATCGCCCAGCAGCAGCACCTTAGACTAGCAGGACCGAAATGCGCTGCCAGAAGCGGGGCCCTGGGCCTTCTACTGACTGGCGACCCCACCTGGAAAGCTGCCCTAGGATACGCCGTTGTCTGGCATTTGATAGCGTGGACGGCAACCACCAACCCTGCCCAAAGCATTGCATCCTTGAGTTCTCTTCGGGGCCGCGGGGAGGCCCTCATGGGCCAGGCCCCCACCAGATGGGGCAGCGTTGGTGCCATGCTGCTTTCCTTGCATCGAACAGGGTGGACTTTAGCCTCCCCGCTGGTTTTCCAGGCCCGCGAAGGCCAGCAGTACCCTTCAAAGTGTTTCTCGCCGGCCTTTGTGCAAAGCAAGATGCATCAAGCCTGGCAGCAGCGGCTTCGAGAGCAACGTGGCCTTCGCGGTCTCGAGGTCCGCCGCCGCCAGCGCTCGCTTGACATCCTGGTCCTCGAGGGTATGGGTCTGCTTCAGCACGTACTCGGACTGCGTCTCCAGCTGCCTCTGAGCACGGTTCAAATTTCGGAACTGTACCTGCTGCAACTGGGAGATGCTCTTCTCGCTGCCGCGGTCATACCGCACTCTGTCCGAAACATTCTCGATTGACTCCATCGCCGCCATCGTAGGCTCTCGAGCTGTACCCTCCTGCTTAGACTCCAGACTCTTCAGCGTGTCGTAGGTACTTTGGAGCTTTTGGATCTGAGCCTTCCCGACCACCAAATCCTTCTTAGGAGCGGGCCCTGTCAAATATGCAGACGATAGCACTGGGGTCGCCGCTTCCCAATGCGCACCGCACCTCCGACACTTCTGATACTGAAGAGATACCTGGGCCTCGCAAGGCATACAGCTCCATGCGGAGGACGCAGGTGTGAGTGGCAATGACTGGTGCTGGCTGCGCTTATCCTTTCCTTTTCCGATGCCGGTCCCGCGACCCCTCTCAGTCGCCTTGTCCTCGCCACACGCAACCTTCCCTCCCATCGCGGCAATCCGGGCTGGAAAAAGTGCGGAATGCTCCACCGTCGGGGCGGTGTCGAGTGAGCAGAAAACAACCTGGCGCTGCGCCCCCCACGTTCCCTGACCCCACCTCTGACAGAGTGGGTGATGACTGGAGTCATGGGGGCTACGGACCCTCCTCCTCCTCCTCCTCCTCCTCGTACTCCTCCTCCTCGTCCTCGTACTCCTCCATCGAAGGGTGGTTTCGGGGGGGAAGGGCACGAGATGTGTTTTTCGAGGGTGATGTCATGATCAGACTGGCTCAGGATAACTTCCAGGACTTCAAAAGTATCGGGAGGCGCAGCCAGTGCGGAATAGGAGGGAATGCTGAGAGTCCTGGGAACCTTGGGAATCCTGGCACGTATCGTTATCATGGTTTCTTGGCCCTTTGACGTTCAGGGCTTCCGCCAGCGGGGTGACTGGCTGCGGCTCCTGCTCCTGCTCCCGCTGCACCCTCCTCAGGTGTTGCTAGAAGTGTCCCTGGCCCAAGGCGCCCTCAGGATCTCCAAGGAGACCTCCACGGCCTCCAGAGGACCCCCTCATGAGGCCCAGGGAGAGACGCGCTTCTGCACGGAAGCGTTGCGAAAGAGACTCGGCCCTATACCCATTCCTCGGGTAATGCCAAAGGCGCCCCTGGCCGCAGGTGCCCCGAGCTTTCCGTTCCATTTTGGAGACCATCGGGTCCCCTGGGCCTCGTCAGGGGTGCTCTGGAGGCCGTGGTGGCTTGCGTCCGTGGGAATCAGGTGCAACTTGGGTCATGGGCTCTTCTAGCAATCCTGAGATCCGACGTTGCGAACAAAAATGCAACATCGCAAAAAATCATCGCCCGAGCTCTGGACCCCATCTTGCTGCATCACTTTCCGAGCCGGATCGATCTGTGCGGGTCCTGGGGCCCCGAACCCTGGCGACATCGCCGGCATTCGCGAGAGGCGCTCGGGCGAGACGTTTGGCTGGGGGTCCTGGGGGGCGGATGCAAGGCCCCTGGAAAGCCACAAGTGTCAAGCAACTGTTTTGAATGGCTGGGCAGCCACATGTGGGCGACGATAAGAGAGAGGTCCTTACGCGGTGGCTTACGCGGGCTGCCAGCGCGGTACGCTACATTGGAGACGAGGGCGCTTACGCGCGAGCTTACGCGGGCGGCTTACGCGCGGCGCGAAGGGCAGCACAATCGAACCCGCTCTTCTGCGTCGCTCATGTGGACCCCTCCCCCTGCAGGCTAGATTACCGGAAAACCAACTGGGTGGTAGAATTCAGAAGGTATCTGCATTGACGTGGGCCCCGATGGGGGCGTCTGGTACCCCAGCGTCGATGGTACCCGCAGGGGTCGGGTTCGCTGCTGATTCGGAGAATGGTGGCGTCTGAATGGCGGCGGTTCGGGTCCGAGTTGCGGGCGGGCTAACTACGCTGTGGCACAGGCGAGACCAGTTGCGGCACCAGAGGGACAAGAGAAGACCCGAGGAGGGAATAAGAGACCGCGCTGGGCTGGGGAGGCCCTCCGAGCGTGAAGTTCTCCGGGATGTGCCGAAGCAGGCCCAACGCGAACAGGAACTGCAGCCAGAGGATGACACGCCCAGGTACGAGTGAGTCGTGCGAAGGACGACAAGTTCAAGAGCCACAAGTCCACTCAAGGCCAAAGCGCGAACTAGGCATACAAAACAACACTTGCACACTGCCGCGTGAGGGCAGAGGAAGTGTCAAGAACCACTCCGCCACGCATTCTTCAGAACGGCGGGGAGGGGTCTGGCCGTCTGGCCGGCTCAGGGCTCGGTCTGGGGGTCGGAGCTCGCCCCCCCCTCCAGGCCTGTCCTGGGGCACGCTCCGTCCAGAATCCCAAGAGGAGGAGGAGGAGGAGGAGGAGGAGGAGGAGGAGGAGGAGGAGGTGGAGGAGGTGGAGGAGGAGGAGGAGGAGGAGGAGGAGGAGGAGGAACGGGAAACGACCAGGAGCCTGCGGAGGCTCACAAGAGCATGATCGACCCACGAACCCAGAAAGGAATATAGAACTGTAGAGCATTTTCTGTGGTGTCGCTGCTCGGCCACATCGCCACTCTCGACAGGCCCGCGGCCGGTGCAGCACTGAGATCAGTTGAGCACCTTCGAGAGCCGCTCGAAGCGCGTCTGCAGCGAGCTGTTCTCCTAGAGGGTGAACAAAAAACGTACACATGAACTGTCGAATGTCCGCGCTGGATAAGCGCTGGACCCACCTGGCGGCGTCTCCGGCGCAACCCCCTGGCGCGCTTCGTGCGCCAGGATGGGGGTTTCAGCGCCGATTCAAAGACTCCGCGCGGACCTTCGACAACTTATGCTTATGTCGTTGTTTTTGTTTTGAGTATCCTGCGACTGGTGCTGCATGGCCATCCGGAACGATTGCATCATCCAGTGTCTGCAGACGCTCATCTCGTGGTTCAGGTACAGCATGTCTCCTCGCAGGAGAAGGTACTGCTGCTTGAGCAAACTCACCTGGGGGACGAAAACTAGAGGCTTCATGTACGGCGAAGTGGCGACCCTATATGATGGCTCACGTAGGCCGCCAGCGCGATACCTCGCGAGGGAACGAGGGTGCACACGCGCGAACTTACGCGGGCAGCTTACGCGCAAATGTCCGCGCAATCGATCCCGTGTTGTTACCACCCGGTTCACCTTCTGCTTGAGCGTAATCAGAAGCTGTATCAATTGCCGGCTGCCTTGGTGAGCAGCCCCACGCAAACCTGGTCCTAGCCGATCCGCTGCCCAGTCCTGATCCGTCGCCTAGCTTTCGTTGTGCCTCGCTTAATGGGTGGGCGGTGAAGAAGGGGGAGACAAAGGTGCACTTTTGAGGCTCCGAAGGACCCCCTTTGGACCCTTTCGGGTTCCTCTAGGGACCCTAACGGGCTCCGTTTCTGCAGCCGTCGCTGCCCCTCCAAGTTAACGCCCTTCCACTAGCACGCGACGCCCAATTTCGATTCATAACTCGGGCCTCCGGCGGCCGTTCGGGACGATCCGGGCACCCCCAGTATGCTCTCGACGAGGCGCGGCTGCTGGAGCGCCTCCCAAGGCAGGAACACCTCCAGGGTTCCCCCTTCCTCCGCCGACGGAACCCCAGCAGCTGCCTCTGACCGATGCCAAGTCGACTGGCCGATCCGTTGGCGCGGCGGCTTGGTCGAGGCCTGGCCGACCGATCGGCGCCTGCTGGGCCGCCTGCCCTTGAGCTCGATCACCTGCGCGGCTGTAACCTGATCGTGTTCGAGGTCCATGTTGAGAGTGACGTTGTTCAGCATGAGGAGGGCTTTGGCCATGCTGAGCTCCTCTTCCAACCTTTCAGCAGGACGAATCTGAACGATGAAGTGGGGGATGAGCAAGAAGAGGACGAGGAGGAGGGGGGGAGACGGAGAAGGCTTCCGCGAACAACTCCCCACATCATGTATCCCAGGAGCTTCGGCTGCGTTCTCAGTTGCAGCAAGAGGCACCGATGACGCTACTCCCCGGGCCTCTCAAAAGGTGCGTTGTGACGGCCTGGCAACGATTTCGAAGCGAATCTCGACGTGGTGACGAAAGAAGGGTGGTGGCATCGGTATCTCTCCCCCTTACGAAAGAAGGCGCTCGAAATGATACTTACGGGTATCCTCGATGGGCCCCAATAGCGGTGCGATGGCGGAGCACGGGGGGAGGAGGTGACGGTGACACCTCCTTTCTCGGGTGGCGGTTCTGGGGGCCCTGGGTCAAGGCCCCTGCCACTCCCAGGAACCTGATGCCTCAGGGTGGGGGGTGGGTTGTTCTGAATCGGCCGGGCGACTGACCTCAAATGGCATCAGACGTCGGAGGGCAAAGGATGATACACTTACATGTTGGCACACGGAGGCGCATCCTCGATGGACCCTAATAGCGGTGCGATGGCGGAACGGGGTGGAAGGAGGTGACGGTGACACCCTCTTTTTCGGGTGGCGGTTCTGGGGGCCCTGACTCAAGGCCCTTGCCAGTCCCAGGAACTTGATGTCCCCGCCCATGCGATGGGAGTGATACACCAAGCAAAAGTGGCGGGGAGAGGAGACCTGGAGAAGAGAGGAAGATATCGGGGCCCCACTCGGACGCTGCAAGCGCCGGGGCCCGTCCATTCTCTCACCTCGCTCCTTCGTCCCCTTCCCGCGGCACCGTCGCCACACTCACCACCTTGCGTGCACAGAGGCCGAGACTCGCGGTGCCGATCCCCTGCTCATCCCCCAGAAGGTCCTCCGTGGTGAAGTTCCCCCCTCCCACACCGGACCCCGCCCCCGCCCGCGGCTGAAGGATGGGGGCCCCGAAGGACAGACGGGGCGCGCAACCGCCGAACGGCACCCCGAGGCTGGAAAACAACCAAGAATCGAAAACCTTGAACCTCGAACTCGAAACGCCCCTGACACGTTCGCATTGAAAGATTGCAACAATTACAAGGATGGTCGTCAGTGTGCGGCGAGGGCAGGGTCAGGGTGAAGGTCGCCAGGGGCGTCCTGTTCGGTCTCTCCGGCCAGGGCCTCTTCCGCAGAAATGCCGAAAAAGCCTCCACGGGCTTTTCCGCAGGACTGTCGAACAAAGCCCCAGGGGCCCAGCAGGGGCGGCCCCAGGGGGCGCAAGAAGGGAGGCCAAAGAAGCGTTGGGACCCCCGTGCCGAGACGGCGACGACACCCAAATCCTGCTCATCATCCCCCCCCCTCGTCCAACCCCCACTCCCCTCAAGGCCCCGTGTAGAGCGGACTCCGACAAACCGGGACGCACGCACCCAAGAAAACTGCAGCCGTGGGGCGAAACATGTCCCGTTCCCCAGGCTCATGGCCAACGGGAGGGGGGGCTGGCTCAACGAGGGAAACATCGACCACTTGGAACGAGACGTCGCCGAAAGATTGGCGATAAGCCCCCGATAGCGCTTGCCTGGGAGGGGTGGGCTATCGGGCCGCCATCGCCGATGCATGGGCGATTGGAGGCCGACGTCCCCCCCCGCGTTGCGTTGACCTTGGCGTTGCGTGGCCCTGCGGAGGAGGAGGAGGAGGACGAGGAGAACGAGGAGGAGGAGGACGAGGAAGAGGAGGAGGAGGAGGAGGAGGAGGAGAAGGACGAGGAAGAGGAGGAGGAGGAGGAGGAGGATGGGACGCTCCAGCGTGGCGTTGCCCTTGGCATTCTGCAGACGAGCGTGGCAGAGCCCCGGCCCACCAAGGTCCCGAGATGTCTCCCAGAGGGGGGCCCAGGGAGCCTCCCGCTCGACTCGACCCCCCTTCGGCCCCAGGCGCGCCGCGCAGGGGCCGACGAGGGACGGCGACGACGGCCGACGGCGGCCTCTCTGGCCAGCGCATTGTCTTGGACGGCCGAAACGGGCACGGGAAGAATGCCCGATGAAATGGGCACCCGAGAACCTGGCACTGTTTTGGCCGCCCGAAGAAGTGGACACAACACCCAACAGCAAGTGTGATCCCAAACCAGCAGCGCCCGCAAATGGGCAGGCGGCCTCCGATCTCACATGGACACCGTCCGGGGCGACGCCGACAGCGAGTCCTCCTCAAAATGAACCAGAACTTCTGCCGGTCTTTGTGCCCATTCTTTCCGTACAGTCGGGGCGCTGAAGAAGGAACTCTTGTCGTTGGGGAGGGGCTCAGTGTTCCTCAATTGTTGTGCAGTTATACTTCGGCTTTCGATTGGCCATCGAAATTCAACACAAGGGACAAATAATTTGCATCGTTCCTCATTCAGGGTTCCTTTGGGTCAACGCCCCGTGCCCGATCCCATCGTCCCGCACTCTGGCCAGGATCTCGGAGGTGACCCGGCCGCGGCGGGCACGCCGGGCCCGCAGGAGCTCGGCAGCGCCCGTGCCGGCGGCGCGCACGAGGCTGAGGGGGGCGGCGCGGGGAGCGGGGCCTGCCGAGAGGGCGGAGGCGGGCTTCCCCGACGGCGGGGGCCCGCCCGGATGGGCCCGCCGCCCCCTCGGGCTGCCCCCCCACCCCTGAGCCACTCCCTTGCGCGCGCCGCCAAGCCCGACGGTGGCCGAGCCTGGGAGCCTCGGGCCTCGAACTGAGAGGGCGGTGGCCATGGGCCCCTGGAGCTCTGCTGCGGCGCGGCTCCGACGTCGAATCTCTTGAGGCGGGTCTGGCCACCGCGGCCCAGGTGCTCCCGGATGTCCTCGAGCCTCGAGCCTCGAACCTCGAGCCTCGAACCTCGGACCTCGAGCCTCGACGACCTTGACGACCTTGACGACTTCAACGACGACGACGACGAGGGCGGCGGCGACGACGACGACGACGAAGACGACGGCGGCGTCGACGACGACGACGACAATCCACCCGAAGACCTCCACTGCAACTTGCGTTCACCAGTACTCCGAAGCGGATCCAACCGCGGCGACGAAGGCGCCCCCAGAAGCTCCGACAACGCCCCCCAAACACCCCAAAGACTCAAATCCTCTGCCAGAGACGGCGATGGCGATGACAGCGACGGCGACGACGATCGACCCCCAGTCCTCTCCATCAACACACCTTGACCAGAATCGCATGACCGATCTAGCCGTGGCGATGTGGGCGTAACTTAGACGCCCGAAGATATGTCAAAACTGCGAGGAACTTCGGTCCTCGAGCCCCGAAACTATTTCTAACTATTCTCCCGACACAACGACGGGGAAACCGACGACAATAACATGGACTACGACGGACAAGGCGAAGACGACGACACGACGAATACGACGACCACGACAAAGGCGACGACAGAGGCGACGACGTAATAACGACGGGAGACGACGACGACGACGATGGCGGCGGCGGCGACAAGAGATGGAGCGACGAAAAGGAGGCCTCAAACGAGCGGAACGTCTGGTGGAACGTCTTGTGGAGACACTCACAGCGAGAAGGCATGAACAACACTTTCCTGACTATTGTCTCGTCGTGGCTCGCACCCAGACCAACTCATATTGTTGTTGATGCAATGCTTTCATATTATTTTCAGCTTGAAGAAACGGTTTTCCAGGGTGCCGTGCTGGGCCCACAGGTCTGGAACGTGTGCTACTCTGACGCGCGGGATGCAACTTCACTCTTAGATTTCGTTGAGAAGCATTTGCAAATTATTTGAAATGCTGGCGTGTGTTCAGCCATGAGTCCCGGGACAGCTCGGTTTTCGAATCTCGCTGCGCCTGTCAGTCTGCTTCACACGCGTGGGGGTCTGCTAACCAAGTATTGTTCGAACCGTCAAGTGAAAGAGCGCGCATCTTGGATACGAACAGACCACATAGCGGATCATTCAACATACTCAACGTTACGTTCGACCCTCGCCTGGAAATGCGTCCAGCCGTGCAGCACTTTGCCACGGATGCGGGCTGGCGCCTCCGGGCTCTTCACCGGGCGAAGTGATACGATGGTGTGAAAGAAACGGTCAGATGGTACAAATGTCACGTCCCGTCTTGCCTGGAGGGCGCCAGCCCAGCGGTCTACCACGTCAAGAGGAACATGTTGAAGCAGCTCGTCGACTTGCAGTCTTGTGTTTTAGACGAGGTCGGCTTAATGGCAGAGTCTGGTCTGCGAGAACACGATATTGCCCCGCTTGTTATGCGCCGAGACATACCAATTCTGAGACTGCTGTACAAGGATGCCTCAAGCTTGGCGCCTCCTGCTCTTGCAGCACTGTTCCGTCCTACTGCGGGCCATCTTGAATCGTTGAGCGTCGTTCCTGCGCAAAATTTCCACAGAAAGACTCTGTCTGACCCAATCGAGCCGGACCATCCAGCTATTACACAATGGTCTATCTTCGGCATGATTTGAGCGTTCAACCCGCTACCACACCACATCGTCAACAGTCGCACCGTCCAACTATTCCAGAAGAGGCTTCAGCACACAGCCAAGTGTTCGGCCAGCCGGCCGGGCTGGCAGGAGATGTTTCGCAAAGGTTCGTGATATGAATTTGACGTCTTGTGTTGGAGTGCTGCGAGGGTTTGCCGCAGAACAAAAAAAAAAACTGTCGAGGACGGCGACAGAGACGGCGACGCACAAAATGCGGCGACGACGGCGGACGATGCCCGCGACGACGATGGCGGCGGCAGCGACGAGGAGCGACGACGGCGGCAAAAAAAATGCGACGCCGCCCGCGGCGGCGGCGACAGCGCCGGCGGCCCCCCCGCGACCCCCGCGCGCCTCTCGCGCTCGCGCGCCTCGCCGTCGTCGGGAGGCCCTCCGCTGCTGCCCGCGTGGCCTCGCGGCGGGGGGGGGGGGCGGACCCTCCGCCGTGCCTCGGTGCTGCCCGGATGCTGCTCCTGGCCGCTGCTCTCCGCCTCGCCCCGCCCGCTGCCTCGTCCGCCGCCATCCTCCTCTCCTCCCCCCCTTGCCCTGCCTCTATCCTTCTTCCCTCCCTCCTTCCTCCCTCCCTCCCCCTCTTCCTCCTCCTCCCCCGTTCCTCCTCCTGCTCCTCCTCCTCCTCCTTATCCTCCTCCTCCACCTCCTCCTCCTCCTCATCATCGGCATCGGCATCGCCATCGCCATCACCATCACCGTCATCCTCGTCCTCATCATGATCATGATTATGATCATGATGATGGTCATCATGATCCTCCCATCCGCTGCTCCTCATCATCCTCCCTCATCTTCCCATCGCTCTCCTGGGGGCTGGAGGGGATGGAGGGCGGAGGAATGAGGAGGGAGGATAAAAATACACAAGAAGACGATAACCAGCGTGGCCCCCGAAGAAGGCGACATTGCACTGCGGTCTTGGAAGCTATGCGCCACCAGTTACGCGGTGAAAGCTACGTCGTGTAACCAATGTGCGAGTTTGGGAGGTGACAGCGCCGTGCAAACTATGATGTGTAAGCAATGTCGTGTGCGCTGGGCGGTGTGAGCTGGAGGTAAAAGCTATGGGGCGCAGGCTATGTGATAAAAGATGTGTAGTGTAAGACAGGCGGCTTGAACTGGAGGAGGACACTATAGGGTGTAAGCTATGCGCTGTAAGCTATGCGCTGCAAGCTGTGCGGTGTGGCTATGTGGTGGAAGCGATGTGGTGGAACTTGCGTCGTGCACGCTTGTGAACTATATCGTGAAAGCTAGGCGGTGCGAGCTGAATGTGAAAACTATGGGGTGTATGCTACATGATGTAAGCCATAGAATACAGGGAAGCTGGAAGCAGTGGAAGTTGGAAACTCGGTGAAAGTAGAAGTGTCCAGGGCTGGAAAAAAGTGGCAGTGGACGAAGCGAACACGATGTGCCGATGTGTGGCGGGGCCGCCACGGGGCCGCGAAAAGTGTGAGTGCGCCGCAGTGGGGCGGGGCCGCCACTGGGGCCTTCGGTGGAACTCCCTACGGGGCAACGAAACAGTGTCATGGGTGGGGTGACGCATGCGAATACAACCACCGGGGCCTTCGGTGCAGCTCGCCATGAGGCCACGAAGCGCTGTGCTGGGTGGGGGAACGCATGCGAACACCGCCATTGGGGCCTTCGTTGGAGCTCCTATGGGGCCACGAAGCGCTGCACTGGGCGGGAATGACGCATGCATGTGCATCCACTGGGGCCTCCCGTTGAATTCCCTATGGGGCCACGAAGCGCTGTACTCGGTGGGGGGGACGCATGCGGGCGGTGCCACTGGGGCCTTCGGTGGAGCTTCCTGTGGGACCACGAAGCGCTGTTCTGGGTCGGGGTGACGCATGCGGGTGGTGTCACTGGGGGCTTCGATCAAGCTCCCTATGGGCCCACGAAACGCTGTGCTGGGTGGGGTGTGGCGCATGCGGGCGGTGCCACTGAAGACCTCGGTGGAGCTCCCTATGGGGCCACGAAGCGCTGTACTGGGTGGGGGCGACGCATGCGGGCGGTGCCACTGGGGCCTTCGGTGGAGCTCCCTGTGGGGCCACGAAACGCTGTACTGGGTGGGGCGGTGACGCATGCAGGTGGTGCCGCTGGGGCCTTCCGTGGAATTCCGTATGGGGCTACGGAACGCTGTACTTGGTGGGGGTGACGCATGCGGGCGGTGCCACTGGGAGCTTCGGCCAAGCCTTCGCAGCGCACCTGGGGCGATCAGGGGGGTCATCGGGGACGTCCCGGACAACCCCAAGACAGCACAAGAGCGCTCCAAGAGTGACCGACGTGACCTCAAGATGGCCTGAGAGGCCTCCAGGACGGCCCCAAAGAGGCCTCCAAGAGCACTCCCAAGAAGGCCCCCCGAGGCAAAAATCGTTGGTTTTCTGTTGGTTTTTGGTGAATTTGAAGGTTCTCCTCTTTTCGGCTTCCCGACGCTCCAAGACGGCGGTCTTCTGGGCGCCCGAAGCCGCCTGGGAGGCTCCAAGATCGCCCCACAACCATCCGAAAGGGATTCCAAGCAGTCCAAGAGAGCCCCAAAACGGCACAGCACGGGTCCAAGATGGCCCTCATAGAGCCCCATGGCGGCCCAAGATGGCCCAAAGACACCCTCCGAATAATTCCAAATCGTGATTCGGTCGTTCGGGGAGACCACGGTTGGAGGCAGGGTGGCCCGAGGAAGCCCCCGGAGGCCCCCAGAATACGCCCAGGAGGTCTCCAGAAGGCCTTAAGGAAACCTGAAACAACTTTTGTGAGGCCCCCAAAGGCTCCCCAAGGAGGAGCCTCCGCAACAAAGAGCTGAGGAGGATGGGGAGAATGCGCAGGGCATGGCGAAAATAAGGAAAAAGAAGCATGGAGGAAGGATAACGAAAAATATTAGTATAGCGGCGATGCCAGAAAAGGCAACCAGGACTGATCGCTAAATTATCGGCTTGACCTTCCTGCTATTCCGCCTGCGTGCCAAACTTCAAGGACCAAGGTGCATGGCGCGAAGCGCCACTGCAGTCTTGTGTGCATATAGATGTATACACATACATACATACATACATACATACATACATACATACATACATACATACATACATACATACATACATACATACATACATACATACATACATACATACATACATACATACATACATACATACATACACACACCGGTCCTCACATGGCGTTTTGCCAAGCCTTCCGCACACCTAGGGCGATCAGGGGGGTCATCGGAGACGTCCCAGAGACCCCCAAGACAGCACAAGAGCGCTCCAAGAGTGACCGACGTGACCTCAAGATGGCCTGAGAGGCCTCCAGGACGGCCCCAAAGAGGCCTCCAAGAGCACTCTCAAGAAAGCCCCCCGAGGCAAAAATCATTGATTTCCTGTTGGTTTTTGGTGAATTTCAGGGTTCTCCTCTTTTCGGCTTCCCGACTCTCCAAGACGGCGGTCTTCTGGGCGCCCGAAGCCGCCTGGGAGGCTCCAAGATCGCCCCACAACCATCCGAAAGGGCTTCCATGCAGTCCAAGAGAGCCCTAAAACGGCACAACACGGGTCCAAGATGGCCCTCATAGAGCCCCATGGCGGCCCAAGATGGCCCAAAGACACCCTCCGAAAAAGTCCAAATCGTGATTCGGTCGTTCAAGGAGACCGCGGTTGGAGGCAGGGTGGCCCGAGGAAGCCCCCGGAGGCCAGGCCCCCAGAATACGCCCAGGAGGTCTCCAGAAGGCCTTAAGAAAGCCTGAAACAACTGTTGTGCGGCCCCCAGAGGCTCTCCAAGGAGAAGCCTCCGCAAGAAAAAGCTGAGGAGGATGGGGGAGAATGCGCAGGGCATGGCGAAAATAAGGAAAAAGAAGCATGGAGCAAGGATAACGAACCACATTATTATAGCGGCGATGCCAGAAAAGACAACCAGGAGTTATCGCTAAATTGTCGGTTTGGCCTTCCTGCCATTCCGCCTGCATGCCGAACTTCAAGGACCAAGGTGCATGGCGCGAAGCGCCACTGCAGTCTTGTATATATATATATATATATACACACACCGGTCCTCACATGGCGTTTTGCCAAGCCTTCCCAGCACACCTAGGGCGATCAGAAGGGGTTATCGGAGACGTCCCAGAGACCCCCAAGACAGCACAAGAGCGCTCCAAGAGTGACCAACATGACCTCAAGATGGCCCAAGGACGGCCCCAAAGAGGCCTCCAAGAGCACTCTCAAGAAAGCCCCCCGAGGCAAAAATCATTGATTTCCTGTTGGTTTTTGGTGAATTTCAGGGTTCTCCTCTTTTCAGCTTCCCGACGCTCCAAGACGGCGGTCTTCTGGGCGCCCGAAGCTGCCTGGGAGGCTCCAGAATCGCCCCACAACCATCCGAAAGGGCTTCCATGCAGTCCAAGAGAGCCCCAGAACGGCACAACACGGGCCCAAGATGGCCCTCATAGAGCCCCATGGCGGCCCAAGATGGCCCAAAGACACCCTCCGAATAATTCCAAATCGTGATTCGGTCGTTCGGGGAGACCGCGGTTGGAGGCAGGGTGGCCCGAGGAAGCCCCAGGAGGCCCCCAGAATACGCCCAGGAGGTCTCCAGAAGGCCTTGTACATGTATATGTGTGTATGTATATGTACGTGTGTATAAATGCGTGTGTTCACACAGTCAGATACTTGTGACAAATTCCGGTAACCCTGAACCAAAACATGTTGTCATTTCTCGGAGCCGCATCTTTTACTGCCGCCCGCTTCCGCCGGCCCTCCGCCAACATCCGTCGGCGGAGGCGGCCTGTTTTTACTTCCGCGGCCTTCCGCCAGCCTTCCGCCGCCTTCCGCCCAAGAAGAGATTGCAACTCCTTCGGCCAGGCTCTTTTCTGGAACACCTTATATAATGTTGTATACTTGTATATACACATATACGTGTGTAAATATGTATGTATTCACGCGTGAAACGTATTCCACACATGTGTGCATATGTATATATATATAAATATATTCACATACATGTGTAATTGTATATACACACACGTGTATATACATACTATATATATATATATATATATATATTTATGTATAGGTCCCTGAACCCACCATGAACCCTTCTTTCCCCCTGGAACTTCCAAGAGGAAAGAAAGGTTGGTGGGTCGTCGTGCTGGAGCGCGCGCGCGTGTACAAGAGGAAGATGACAAAGAGACGGAGGGAGGGTGAGTATCGGGAGGGTGTGTTGGAAGCGGGTGGAGTGGAGTGTACGAAAGTTGTGGAGTGGACGGGGGCTATGGAGTAGAAGGATATTTTCAAGTTCAGCTTGGGGAGGGAGCCTGTTGAGTATCGGGAGGGTGTGTTGGAGACGGGTGGAGTGGAGTATACGGAAGGTGTGGAGTGGACGGAGGGTGTGGAGTAGAAGGATATTTTCAAGTTCAGCTTGGGGAGGGATCCTGTT